TCCGACAGAAAAAACAAACTAAAAAAGACGGATTATAAGAGAATACTTTATAAAAAATCACTACTTGGACACTAGAACAAGACAATAATCTGAGCTGGGAAATTGAAGAAATGGGAGAAGCAAAGATCATTAAAATAATCAAAGCATCCAGCGATCCACCACTAACAAAGCAATATATACCACCGTTTAGTCATAACAAAAGCTATGAACATTAAATCCTAGCATACGAATAGAGCTAGATTACGAGATAACTCGATTTTGGCTATTCTCGTTAGGTTAACGAGTCAGAAGGCTAGCTCAGCTAGGTTGTTTACAAGTTTAAGTTAGCTCGTCTAGCTTTGCGAGCTAGGTAATAAATTAAAAATATAATATATATATATATATATATATATATATATATATATAGTATACATTTATCTGAAACTTGATAATTAATACAAAAGCAACTCATTCATAAGCCTTAATAAAAAAAGGTTAACACATGTACAAATAAGACAATACAATAAAGTACTACGTTAGATATCCCTAGTTCATACTCTATACTATACTATACCATAAATGATGCAACCGTTAATGATTATCCATATATCTATTTGAAACAAAAAAAGTTATAGCATCAATGTTCAGATCCAACCATCAACCAATTAGGCTCACGAGCACGCTCGATAGATCCCGCTTGCGAGCAGGCTCGCTTACACGAGCTGAAACGTAGGCTTATCTCATTGAAATATATACAGCCTGTTCGTTTCGTCGTAAATGATCGTGGATTATTTACTACTGGCTAGTTTGGTGTGAGAGAAAAATATTATTCCAACTTATAATCCACGATCGTATACGAGCAAGTGAACAGACTCATAAACGAGCCGAGGTATTAACGAGAGCCGACTCGAGCGAGTTGTTGAGCTATCAGCTTTTTGCCCAGGAAGCAAATTAGCATCGAATTTTGCAATCTGTTTTATTCTACCGTCCATACATGTTTAGTTTAGCATTACTTGTCAGTTTCATCAAATGCATACTACTCTATCTTCTCAGGTTACATGTGCGGCAAAGGCTCGAATCAATCTATACATATATCTAGATGAATATCCAATTTGTGTCCCTGAAAGCTCAAAAGGCTTAGAAGCTTTGTGCCTTGCTTAAGATACCTTACCCATTTAGGTGAGGATTGCATTGCCACGGCTCCGCACCGTACGTACGGGAAGGGAGAACATGAAAAGGCATCTAGCGCATATAGCAAGCCAAAGCACTAATTTGTGCCTTGCTTAAGATACCTTACCCATTTAGGTGAGGATTGCGTTGCCACGGCTCGGCACCGTACGTACGGGAAGGGAGGACATGAAGGCCTCGTTCGTTTCGCTGAAAAAATAAATCGAAACATTGTTCTAATTAATTTATTATGAAAGAAAAATACTGTTTCGATAGAAAAAACAAGCTGAAAAAAACAGATTATAAGAGAAGTGAACGGAGCCGTATACCCTTTTTTCGACATAGAATAAACCATATGTACGTGCTGCGCCTGTATGGGAGGGACTTCTTGGGCGCGGCACCAGTTTTCTGCCGAACTGTCAGCCTAGCTTTAACACGTCCACACTCTTGCTTTCGTAGAGGCGGCATATATGAGGCCTTGTTTAGATTAGAGTTAGAAATTAGTATTTGGTATTGTAGTATTTTCGTTTGTATTTGATAATTATTATCCAATCATGGTCTAACTAGGTTTAAAAGATTCGTCTCGTAATTTACAATTAAATTATGTAATTAGTTATTTTTTTATCTACATTTAATACTCCATGCATATGTCCAAAGATTTGATGTGATGAAAAGAGAATGAAAAAACTTGCAATCTAAACAAGGCCTGAATGTCCACGAATACGTTGTCTGACTATGCAATCTGCCACCATCTGATGGATGACAACACAGAAGAAAGAAAAGCGTCGAGGTTTAGCACAAACCACGCAGGATTGAGTCCGATATATATACTGTGTACATATACCCGATAGGTTGCTTTTGCAGATGGCCATCTGCCAGTAGTATAGTTTTGTTCATATTTTTAATCGCATTTGATTCGTGATACATGAAATCCACGTTTTAATATGTTGAATGTATAGTTTGACGTTTCCTCAAAACAAAAGTATATTTTGACCATCTTATTCATAAAACAAAATAAAAAAAATTGTACTATTGGCCCACCAGTTGATCCCGTCACCAGTTTTAGCAGTAGGCCCCTAGAGTTGCTAAAAAAAAGCAGTAGGCCCTAGCAAGATTCGATGCACGGTTGAGACTTGGTGACAGTCATCCTGTGAAATCCGCATTGAACTAAGGCTGTGTTTAGTTCGCGAAATGAAAAATTTTGGATGTCTCATCGCATGTTTCAGGGATGTCGAAAGGGGTTTTCGGATACTAATAAAAAAATAATTACATAGCTCGTCTGGAAACTGCGAGACGAATTCATTAAGCCTAATTAATCCATCATTAACGCATGGTGTTACTGTAGCACTTATGGCTAATCATGAACTAATTAGTCTTAAAGCATTCGTCTCGCGATTTCCAACCAAACTGTGCAATTAATTTTTTTCGTCTATATTTAATACTCCATGCATGTGCCGTAAGATTCGATATGATAGTTTGGGGTAAAATTTTTTTGAAACTAAACCAGGCCTAATTCTCTTCTTCCAAGTCAAACAAACGCAGTACAATCTTTTCATGGGCCCTACCTACCAATGAAAACATAGCACAAGCTTTTCATCTTTATCTGGTCACAAGTGAAGAATAACTGATTTATTTCCATCTTGGACAGCACCTTGTTGACATAGAGAAAATTAAACAATTAAACATGAAAATAAAACTATGATAGTGTTTTCATTTAGTTAAATATAACTAAACTCATATAGGACTATAGAATTTAGAGCTTTAGATTCAATCATTTGAAATATATTACTTGTAAATTTTTACTTTGAGCAAAAAAGTAATGGCCAAGAATACAAATTAGAATTTTTTAACAAAAATTGAATTCATATGTAAGTATTATAAAATTCGACATCTCCAATTTTCAAACTCAAATGTACATTTGTCATTTTTAGTCACACAATTTGGAGCTTCCAAAAATCATTTTTTTAAAATTTGATTTGTCCATTTATGATTTTTACATTTTACTAAAGATTATCGATGAACTACATAATTATATTTTTGAATTTCAAGTTTTCACAATTTTGAAAAAGATTGAGAATTTGAATGTATAAGGCTCACAAGTCAAAACAATTATTTAAACATGTAAATTTTAACTCCACTGTAAAAGATTTTTTTGTGAGCATAAAAATAGATTAATTCGAATGTTAAACATTGGTGCCCCTGCACGGCGTCTACTCAGTTGACAAGGATGCGAATTAAGGGTCTGTTTGGCAGGGCTCTGGCTCATCTGAAAATGGCTCCGGCTCTGGCTCCTCTGAATGAGCAGCTCCTCTGGAGGAGATGAAGCCGTACTGAAAAACGTTTGGCAAAACGGCTCCTTCGCACTAGACGACGTGAACCCACAGCAAGGAGCCACGCGAAGCTCGTTTTTGAGGCTTCTCCTGCGCAGGCAAAAAATGGCTCCGGCTCTTGACCGGCTCCCCATGCGGAGCCCTTTACAAAACAGGCGTTTGGCACAGCTCCTGCAGGAGCCGGAGCTGAAGCCCCTGCAGGAGCCCTGCCAAAGAGGCTCTAAGTAGTATCTTTTGGAGTGGATCACTAGTAGAGAAAAAGACGTGTGCACCCATGGCTATGAATTGCTAGTGGAGATACGCATACACTAGTGGTGGACTTAAGAAAACTGCCTGTGTAAATTATGTTCCAAATGCATTGATCACTTATGAATATCTGAGGACTAAATTTCTTTTTAGATTTATCGTTGCTACCAAAATTATAGGTCTCTCAACGATGGAGACATTAGATACATATGGATTCACATGTGCCAATTCATCATGCGTGAAATTGTTTTTTTTTTGAAATTGTTCATTACAAAAGAAAATATTGATGAAACCTCTAAGTTAGCACAACCAAGATACAGAGACCTTCATGATATTGTGTTAGGCTAGATTTGATTAAAAATGATTATTAGTGGATTTTAACTTTTTAGGACTTGACGCAACATATGAATTCAATCCTTCATTGTATGTATATGTTCGGTTTGATGTATATATACTTGATCGATAACTATGGTACAATGGGATTTGTATTGGTGCTTGTGGATACATGAAAATATAATTGTGTGATGTATATTTGTTATGCTATTATAATTGGCCATGATGATTATTTGAATTTGAATAGGGTATGATTCAGTAGTAACTGGTACTCATGGTTGGCGGTCCTTAACTACTATTTCTAACCGCCAAATCTTACATAAAACTTACTAAAATAAACACCAAACTTAGAATTAGAACTTGTAACTAATCAATTCCACGAGTTTTGGTGATTTACCATTTACAGAAGGACATGTTGGAATAACATGAAAATATGCTTAAAGTACACAAAGAATACAACAAAACACAGACCCGACATGAGCCCAAGGGGGAAGGCTCATTTTCTCAAAGAATCAGCGCCCAGTCATGTGGAGAATAAGCCCAAAACCAAATCAAATCAACTCAACTCTGCGCCAAAGCACCATGGGCTAAGACAAGAAGCCCACAGGAGGCAACCGACCGAAGATGGGCACGTTTGGGCCCAGCCAGGGTGCGGCCGCACCACCAGTCAGCCCAAACAGCCCAATCTTAAGTGGGCTTCCTCTTACCGACGTTCCAATGGCGCTTCACGGCCCCTCTGCCATGTCCTCGGTCGCCTCCCACGACCACCAGCGGTTCACGGCAAGGGGCGACGCCGAGGACATCCGGATCTTCGCCACGCGACGCATGGACACCTACCTCGGCCAGGCCAAGCAGCCCGATGATAAACCGATTCCATCCGCCGACGACGATGTCCAGGAAGAGCCGCCGGAGGTGCCGCAAGTGTAGGACATGCCAGCTGCGCCAATGGCCGGGAAGAGGACGCTGGCGGTGGCGCTTCGACTGGTCACGGTGGTGCTTAGCCTGCTGGCCTTCTCGATCATGGCCAGCACAAGGACGTCCGCGTGGAACGCCGGCCGCTACGAGCCGTACAGGTTGGTCACCGCTTTGCCTGCACGCTGCCATTTCCTTTTTCTGTTTTTGTCACTTTTTACTCCTATATTTAAGAGGACTTCGTACTTTTTACAAGTTTTTTACGGAACTGCTGGTGGGTATTTAGCAGTGAGCACCGAACGAAATCGACGAGAGGTCAAATTAGTAGAACAAGGGAGGGAGAGGAGTGTAGTTTTTCAATTCGTTGCAATGGAAGGACTTTGCAATTCTCATGCCCGTAACAAAACACACACACACACACACAATTTCCTATCCTTATTTGCTGTGGGGACTCGTTTCCAAAATACGAAGTCTAATATGCATATATTACTTAGAGAATTAAGACCTAAGGAATTGAGGCCCATCTAGCAAGTTTTCCATCTATCCAATCCGAGATGGTCGATTTATAATCGCTCCTGAAAATAGATTTTAAGAGACTATCGATTTAACACAACTGCTCCTGAAAATATTTTTCCAAGGACGGTTGCTCTATGACAACCGGCCCTAACAACATGTTTCTAGATACTATTGTCCTAGTGCAAATGCGCTTCAAAACTTCTTTTTCAGCGGTGATTGCAATAAGACAAGAGATTTAAATAAAAAAAGTTGTTTTTTTGTGAGTTAATAAAAAAAGTTGTTGGAGGGTATTTTTATCAACTACGAAGGATGTAAAGAGGCTCTTGGAGTCGCTCTAATTAATATATTTATACATTCAAAAGATAGAAGCTTAAAAGACCAGCATCTCATCAGGGAATTAATATATTTCCATACAAGGAATATATATTTCACATACGTGCTAAATAGATTTATTATATGTTCAAAAGCAAGAAGTGAATGAGGCCCATGAAGCCAAAATGAAGCCTCTAAACAAATAATTATTGCATATGTTCTATCCATGATAATAAGTCAATTGTACACGGTTTTCTATTGTTGGATACTATAAATACTCAAGCTGTATCATAAAGGTTATTGGAGATCTAATCAAAAAAGTGTTATTGTAGGATATTTTTTTCAACAAAATCTCTATTGGTATTCAATTAAAAAGAATATAAAGGGGCTAGCTCTTGGAGTTGCTCTAATTAATATATTTATATATACATTTGAAAGATAGAAGCCCGAAAGACCAGCATCTCATCATCGAATTAATAGATTTCCATATAACAAATATATATTTCACATACATGGTAATTGGATTTATATGTTCAAAAGAAAGAAGTGACTCAGGCCCATGAAGCCAAAATGATGCCTCTAACCAAATAACTATTGCATTTGTTCTATCCATGACAATAAGGGCATGTTTGGATCTCCTCCTCTAAACTTTAGAGCTCTAAAAACTTTAGAGCACTTTAGCTCAATTTTGAGATCTAAAGCTCTAATGTGAGGTGGGCTAAAATTTAAAGCTAACTTTAGACTATCTGTTTGCAGAATTAAGCTCTAAAGTTTAGAGGTCTAAAGTTTAGAGTGGATCCAAACAGGCCCTACGTCTATTATTCAAGCTCAGATATTGTCCGATAAAAAAAATTCATATATCCGACAAATATCTCTAGTAGTTTGTAAAACCTAATTAATTTAGCTTCTCAGATCCTGAAATGATGCATGTGGCATGGCAGGTACGCCGTCGGAGTGAATGTGGTGGTCTGCTTCTACTCGATCGTGCATGCATTTGCCGTGATCCGGCCTCTAATCTGGCCGAGTTCTATGTCGCGGAGCACCTCAACATACTTCAGCTGCTGCAGCCTCTTCTTCGACCAGGCAGACACAACGCAAATCTAGCTTCCAGCGAGACTCACTTGCTGGTGTAAGTAACCGATCTAGTACATACATACCGTGGCTGAAGGAAATAGTTTCGCTGGAAGGTATTGGCGTATCTGCTGGTATCGGCTTCGTCGGCAGCTGCGTCTCGCAACCATCAGTGGGTGTCGAGGTTCGGCACGGACCAATTCAGCAGCAAGATCAACATCGCCGTGTGGTTTTCGTTCCTTGGGTTCCTTGCGCTGTCCGCCAACGCGCACATCTCCATGGCTAATCTATTCAGCAGGATCTGAGAAACTGATGCCGCTCAGCTCGTATGTTTAGCAGTGTTGCAGTAGTACGTATATTATTGCATTGCAAATTACTCGTAAATAAACGTACGTATATACAAAATCCTATACTCTGCTCTGAGTGTGCACAAGCCGGCCAAAACACTGCCAATAAAGGTACTACTCTGCAATTTGGTATGTAGCTGTCGGTTCAGGGGTTTTTATTTTATAAAAACTGTGTAATTTGTGTCCTATTGATCAGCTTCCATGTTTACGTTGTATATCGTTGATGTTTGATGCGTTGTTTTTTTTAATCAGGCTTGGCTTTTTTTTTTTCGTTAGTTTCTTTCTCCAATGTGCCCTAGGTATTTTTTAACTAATTTGCTGCCTATATATGCACTGCAACGGAATGACTAACTTTGTAGTTAAGGGGTGTATAAGAATTGGTAGGGGCGATAACAGGATCGATATTTTCAGACCATCTGTTTGTCCGAAAGCTGGTTTGGAATGGATACTAGTCGGATAGGAAATTTCAGATATCCAGGTTTTTTTTGTCAATACCGGCCAGATATGGATTCAGATACCAATATTGGATATTATTGATGCCAATTGTGGATCATTAAAATCAGATACTGTTAATGTTTCCTACTGTTAATTTGTAAATTTATAGTCATGCATTTGCTCGGATGGCTTAGCAATCGAAGACTCAACATCTATACTAATCGTGTCCTACGTCTCGTGTTTCTGAGCACCAAGTGCTGCCCTCAAAATTTAGACTAGGGGTTACAAACAGATGTGAATCAGAGCTAAGAGTGCTAATGAGTCGAAAGGGTTCAAAAACACATAGGTGCCAAGAAGAAAGAAAGGTATATATTCAAGAGCACTACGTGAAAAACGATTTAAAGTAGAGCCGCCCCTACAGTGGCGTGCTCAGAAGCCACGAGACCAGCCGTTCCTACAAATGGCACAGCAGTGGTGGCTGGTAATACGAGCCGCCCCTACAAATAGATCGGATTTGTAGAGGCAGCTCACTCACCGGCCGCCCCAAGTGTTTCTATTTGTAGGGGCGGCTGGTGATTGAGCCGTCCCTACAAATGTCTCACGTACAGTCAGTCACCCCAAAATATCTACTCTCCTCTCTCTCTCTCGGGACCCTCTCTCTCTCTCTCTCTCCGTCTTTCCCTTCCCCTCCCTCTCTCGCCCTCGCTCCCAATGGCATGGCCTCGCCCGCCCTGCGGCGTGCAGCGCCCGCCCCCCCCCACCCCGGCCGACGAGCTCTAGACCCGCGGCTCATAGTGCTGCACTTGTTCTCCTCTCCAAATCTAACTTTTTCCTTTTGCTGTGATTTTAGGAGCTATTTTAGGGGGGTTTTCGATTCGTCGATTTGAGATCAAATCTGTTCGTTCTTTTTGCGTTGATTCGTGCTATGACATGATTTGAAGCTATCCTATGAGTTTATTTGATTGAATCGACTCGAGCACGGAGAAATCAATGATTTTCGTTTTGGGGACTTTTACGTGTTCTTGACTCGATCTGAAATTTCCCGGAGATTGGGTAGAAATTGGGCGATTATCTCTTGGAGTATCCTCACTAACCCACTTGTGATGGCCTGTGCAAAGTTAGGGATCGAATCCTTTTGATTTGGTTTGGTTTTCGTCGATTCCTATGGCCGGCTGTTTTTTCTGTTCGTGCAGTTGGTTCTCCGTTCGTCGCATCGGGACCCTGTGAAGATGATCGAGGTGGTGCTGAACGACCGCTTGGGGAAGAAGGTGCGGGCCAAGTGCAACGAGGACGACACCATCGGCGACCTCAAGAAGCTGGTGGCGGCGCAGACAGGGACGCGCCCCGACAAGATCCAGAAGTGGTACAACATCTACAAGGACCACATCACCCTCAAGGACTAGGCCTCGAGCTCTACTACAACCAGCCGCCGCCCCTTCCCTGTTGTCAGGTACTTACTAGCAGCGACTTGGTTTCCTCTCGAGTTCGAATTCCGCTCAGCTCCCTTCGATTCGATTCGGTTCCTGCGCGCCTGCTCGCTGGGAGTAGCTTAGCTGGCCGAGGAAGATTTTGATTCTGGGTGCCCGCACGTTGATTTCAGTTCGAATGTGTGCAATTCGACACCTTGTCTGACTGCCGACTGATTAGGAGGGAGGGATTCGTTTTGAGGACTGATGATGTATCAATTCGTCTACTAGCTGTCCGCTTCCTGGCTTTTAGTACTCAAGAGTAAGTATTCAGTCTTTCAGTTCCAGTCTTGCAGCATTTTAATTGCAAATTCCCATTCAGTTGAGCATAGATATTTTAAGATAGAGGAACCATATTCATGGTGCAAGCTAAAGTCTAGGAAATGCACAAAGAGTTAGTTGATGCAGGGCTGGGTACTCAGGTTACAGACAAGGGCAAGCTAAAGAAATTAGGAAATATGATCCCTTAAGACTAAAAGTAACTTCACTTAAGCTAAATAACTGTCCCACTCATCGATTTGCTACAGATGTTGCAGGTCTGTACCTACTCATCGATTTGCTTCGACCCCAATTACTCAGGTACTTCTAATCTTGGACTTGGATTCTTAGACAGCCTGGATTAAATTCATGTGTGCTATGGCTAGTGCTTTAGTGCTGCTGCAAACCTTCATAGTTGGTGCACTATCTTTTTGCTGTGTTGTTTTACAGTGTCACCTAGCACTATCTTTTTGTTGTGTTGCTTTACAGTTGCATTTTATCTTCATGGTGGTTAACTGGTTATTTGTGGCAGGGGAGACAAATCCATTGAGTTGGGCAGTGAGGACGAGGGCTGCAAAGTGGTGGGCAATATATATCATGACCTATTGATAATTGCAGATGGGCAAGTACCATGTTAACTCTTTTTGCAAGTAATTTGATTGCTGTGTACGTTAGTCTGCAGACCCTAAAATTTTATTTGATATTTATGTTGGACTAATCATTTTGTTCCAGTGGACCTGCAACCTACATGTTCTA